TTTTTTCGCGTTTTCTGCGTCCTTTTCGCTTGCGTGCGGGGCGCAAAGATTGGACCCCATCTTCAAGATAATTAGCTGACCGCTAATTAAGCTATATCCTCCTTAAACCAATTTTTTTGTTAATTAAGTATTTTTTGTGTCATTACATTATTTTGAGCACAAGAACATTTATAGAAAAACTTTAAAAAAAAAAACGTTTAATTCATAAATGTTATACTATACTATGTTATACATCAGTATACATATTTATGTTATACTTTTAAATACTATGTTATACATATTTAAAAAGATATGAATAGGCAAAAACATGTTTGTTTTTTTAAATCACTAATATAATTTTTTAGGTTTCAGGATACAAATGATTCTCAATTTGATCTATTTGATGATCATATTATTATGAATTGTCATACACTTTTATGTTATATTTTGTGTTTCGTAGTAATCTCTGCCACAAAATCTAAATAAAACAAAACCATTTAAGCATGGCATGATATCAGCAAGATTGTACCAAGAAGTGTTATTTATTTTCTTATTAATAAGTTCATCACACTATTTACAATTTGTACACAAGGCAATTCAAAGTGATTCACAGTTGTGTATAAAAAACAACAATAATGCTTATGAACATAATAATAATAATAATCATTAATTATTATAATATTATAATAATTAATTACATAAAAAACAAATACTGTAGTAAAATACTTTCAGTTGGAATATGACAGCTATGTAACGTTCTGTTTATGCCTGAGTCCTTTCAGATAATGTATGCATACCCAGTTTTACGAAGAACCTCTGAGGGTCGACTCCTTATGGGGCCAACTGAGGAGGCCAATAGGAGGGAGATCGTCTTGGCAGGGAGGGCCAGGAGTAAGGGAGGTCCTGGCTGAGGCCACTGCCTTTGTGAGGCAGAATGGAGGGAATCCTGGAGACCAGTTCCTGGTTCTGGCTCACTGCAAGATCCAGTTTGGGAAACACCAGGGTCAGAGATTCCTGTGGCTGCTGGAGAACTCACTGGGGTATGCCTGCTATCTGGTCAGCAGCATTTTGGGGGAGGAGGAGAGGGACAACCCGCTGTCGGCCAACAAACACCTGTTCCTCAGATACACCTCGCAGATCAGGGAGGTTGGCGAGGCTGTGGAGGTGTATCAGAAAAAACAGGCCATGCTGCTGGAGGCCTAGAGGACAGGAGACTCTGGATGTCTGATGGTGGAGTTTGGGGATTTTAAGGGTAGGTCAATGAAGGAGGTGTATGAGGACCCAAGCAAGGAGGCCCAGGCTCTCATCACCTACCTGAAGAAGGCAAAGGCCAGGCCTAACACTAACATGGCCCTTTTCAAAGCATACGTGCTGAAGAGGCAGGCTCCAGCCCACATGCCCAGCACCACTGTGCCCGTTGCATCTGTCCCCACTGCTGCTGTGCCCACTGCCACTGTGTCTGTTCCTCCTCCACCTACTGTCACTAAGAACAGGCCTCTGCCGGCAACCAATGTGAAGGCCCTGTTGGCGCGGGGGAATCTGATCTGATCTGCTTCACTGCTGGCACAAAAGATTTTGTCTCCAGCCAAACCCTGTAAGTAATTTGCTAGCTTTAAAATCATTACAGTATATATTATGCAGTATATACTATGTGTGACGAAAATACGTGTTCAACAGCTGCAGGACCACGTGTACCTCCTGCGTCTGAGTCCGCAGCCCGGAGACAGCTCTTTACATGTGGTGAGTATCACTTAACACATACAAGTGTGTTGGTGACATGTGCTTAGTGTTTTATGTTATTTTACAGATTCTGCTGCTACGGATTTTTTTGAGGAGGAAGATGACCTGGAGATGGCAATTGTAGCCTCCCAAGCTGAAGAACAACTTCCTCAAGGTATGTAAATCTTAAACAATACTTTACAAACAACTACAAATAAAACAAAACAGTATTTTTAAATGACATATCATATTATTTTATTTCACAACACAGAGGAATGGCACTTCTCAGGTCAATCTACATTCACTCTTTGAGTGAACATCCTCAAAGGAAAAAAGAGAATTTAAAGGTGTCTCAGACTTCCCCCACTCCCCTTGAAATAAGTGGCTGTTGTAGTGTTTGGTCTGCTTCGCTTCACACTTGACTGATCCCATCTTTTTTTCTTCTTGTATTTCTTCTAATGGTGCTTGGATGAAAAACAGGATGATTTTCACTGCTTCCTTCCATCTTTTCATCATCATATCGTCTCTCTACTAATCATACATGCTTTGCAGTAAACCTTGTAATCGCAGTAGCTGTCCAGCAGAGCTGAAAAAGTCATGCAGTGAAAGTCTAAAACAATAAGATAATTTTGTTGTGTTTTTTTACGCTCCAGCCACTGCAGGCTCGAGAGGCCCTGCTCCTGCTCCTGCTCCCGCTCCTGCCCCCTATCCTGCTCCTCCAGCATTGTGGACCCCTGGCCAGGTGTCCCAGTCGCCTGCAGAGCTTCCTGTCCACTGGAAAGAGCAACTCCCATCTTTCCAGCAGGACTGGATCAGGAAGACTCTGTTCAAGGCCAACTTAAAAACAGGGAAGCCTGAGCTGGTGCCACATCCCAACTTCTGGTGGTACCCTCCCCAGCCCCCGACCGTCTTCACCCAGCCCCCTAGTTCTCCTGATATTTTCTTCTGCCGCCCTCTGTTCCTCTGGATGCCGCTGAAGATGTGGTCCATTCCACTTGTCTGTGTCCAGCCAGCCTGCAATAACCACAAGCTGACAGCTGCTGGCCTTTATTGCACTGTGTGCAAGGTCCTGGACATAGACGGGTGGTATGACATGGCCACAGAGTATCTGGAGTGCAAAGGGTGCAAGAAGAAATATCCCGCCTGGTCTGAAGACATCCTGGGACAGCTCGACATGGGACACCGCAGAAAATTCCCCGCCATTCTGACATACAGGTAGAACACATTCGTATTTAGAGCAATGCACTGTAATTTGTTGTACTGTATAAAATCAAATACGTTGCTTTACTGACATTGGAATAATAAGATGTGGCACTGAACAGAATTATTTGACTGTCTGTAGGTACTCGTGTGACTACCGTGTAGTCATAATGATGCGGGAGAGGACCCGGGGGAACAGTGTCACACAGCTTTTCAAAAAGCTGCAGGAGCTGCACACCTCAGCGTGGTCACAGCGGACGCTGGAGTACCTCACTGTCTGTGAGCCCTTCACAGACTCCTCCATTGTTGAGCCTCCACTCTTTTCTGCGCCCCCGCCCCTCCCACCCATCCCCAAACCCAAGTGGCTGTTGTCTGTGTATGCCAGGGACGTCCTCTCACGGCTACCTGAGGTCAAGGCCAAAATAACCTCAGTCTTTGGCTCTGTCCTCAAAATGGACTCCACCAAAAAGGTATAAAAAGTCAAGTTTGAGTAATAATAATTGTTATTATCTTAAATTTTTCTGACAATTGTTGTGTTCTACTGTTTTTAGGTCACCAAAAAACTGGCCGGCGCTGCTGCCAACACTGCTGGTTGGTGCACTAATGTTGGCAATGAGCACGGCCAGGTGTTGGTGTCAGTCCTCACAGCGGCAGAGGGGCATGGATTGTGGCCCATGGCGGTGGGTCTCATGAAGAGGTACAGGGAGGCGGGAGTGGCACCACCCGCCATCATGTACGTGAACAGAGACTGCTGCAGCCCACACATGCACAGACAGTCGCAGGTCAGAGCCATGTTCATAGAGTGGGATGAGCTCCAAGTGCGCCTAGACATTTGGCACTTCATGCGGCGCTTTGCAGCAGGTGTCATCACGGAGGCTCATCAGCTCTACGGCACCTTCATGGCTCGGCTTTCCAGGTGCATCTTTGAGCTGGATCCTGATGATGTCGCTGCTCTACGGTTGGCCAAACAGGGGGAGTGTGAGGGACCAAGCAGTCAAGGGGAAAGGACACAGGATTTCCAATCAAAAAAATTGATTTATTAAATACAAAAAATAAAGTTACAAAATAAAGTCAGGTCTGGGCCCATAACAAAAAATGGTCAACTGAACAGAACCCAACTTAACAGAAATCAAATCAAACGCACATGGGGAACTTATATACACACAGGACTAGTCCATTAAACACACACAGGGGACAACACAATCATCACTTAACAATTACAATGAACAAAATGTAATTAACTCAAATGATCAATAAAGGTCAAAAATTAAACTTACTCAACTAATTATAATAGAAAATAAACACGTAATCTGTAAATAGAATAAACTAAACTAACATAATCAATCATAACCACCCCCCTGCTAATTGGCAACATGGATTAACCCAACAGCATAAAATGGCAGCCACTGACACCATCCAGTCCTTTAATGGAATGGACCTCCACCAGAGCTCTGCGTCCCAGGCTGCCCCCAAACCTCCACTCTCCACACGCAGGTAACTTAAACTCAAATAAAAAAAACATTAACACAATATACCATTGACCACTAGAAAGTGTGCCCCCAACCTAGCCATAAATTGTACAAGTGTAAATGATAAATAAAGTGAATGTAATAAACCAAATCTGTGTCTGTCATTATTATGAATGGTTTATAAAGTGATCTGTAACAAATATTAAATGTAATGTACTAAATGGTAGCCAAAATAACATAAGCAAACAAAAGAAAAAGATGTGCTTTTTGCATGTTAGTTACCGCCTTGCTGTGTGGCCACGTGGTCGGCCATCACAGGGAGTTACAGGCCAGAGGAGCTGGTCCAGTCTCAGAGAAGGCTCTGGATAAGCTGATCACCAGGAAGGAGTTGGCACTGCACTGTTGGAAGCGGACCAGAGGAGTGGAGGAGACCACCTGGAGGATCAAGGCGCTCATTGATGAGATGGACAGTGAGAAGGGGAGGGACACTTTGGGTGTACCATTGCTGGACCACGAGGGAATCCAACAGGTCTGGATAGATCAGCAGAGGCACATTGCCTGTATTCAGGACCCAGAGGGCTTCCCTCTGTACCAGAAGACAGACACACTGAAGAAGGGTGGTGTGGAGCTCAGCTGCTATCGCTGTGCTCGTGGCTCCACCGCCTTGGAGTCTTTCCACCTCCATTTAAATCGCTTCATCCCAGGTAGGTTATAACTTTTATAACCTGCAAAAAACTTTAAACTTTTATAACCTATTCTGCCATACTGAATACAGATAACGTATATTTGACTTTATTTGACCTGTAGGGACCAGTGCCAGTGATGCGCATTTCCAGGCCTATCTCCTGGAAGGCCTGATGCGCTGGAACCAGGACCGGATGGATGAAGCAGTGAGGGGAAAGACTGACCTGAGGATCTACAGTAGCATTGAGAGGGAGGCAATGGACCGGCTCAGCCGCAAAGTGCTGAAGGTGTCCCTGGATGACCGCTACCAGCCTCCAGGGGCTTACACAGGTAAGAATTATTCATGTTAACTCAAACAAAAGATTATACATTATACAGGTGTACATTTTTTTATATTGTATTTCAAATAATTCAAATATTGGTCGAGTTATTTGTACTTTGTTTAATTTAGGCTTAATTTGACCCTTTATAGCCTTATTTCTTTGATTTCTTTTGCTAAAGTTAACTTGCTTTATTTTGCATTTATGCTTATTATCTTCTTGTATATTATCATTTTTTTGATCTGTTAAACTGTGTCAAGCCTACAAACGATCAAACTTTGAAAAATTTGATTGTTTTTTTTTTTTGTTTTTTAAAGTTTTTTATGGACAAATAGCCACTACAGCTATAATAATCTGAATGTGCTTTGTATGTGTGTTCTTTTGCAGGGGAGCTGTTGGGTATGGAGTATCTATTAGAGTTGAGCCGGATACTCGGCTGAAACGAGTATCCGGTACGGATAAAGCACTTTTGTCGAGTACAAATATTATACGAGTAATACGAGTCAATATCTGTGCTCGGATAAAAAAAAGAAAAAAAAAAAAGAAAAAAAAAAAGTAATGTTGAAATTAGGGCTGAGCGATATATCAATATAAAGAATATATATTTTAAATGTGATATGTAATTAGAGTTTGCGCTGCACGCCTTGCTCCAAGCAAGCTGCTTAGTGCTGACCCAGAGCTCTCTGCACTGCTCCCCGCGCCCCAGTCACTCCTTTTCCACTTTGCGTGCTTGATTAAAGCATGCTATGTTATAACATGAAATAAAGTCTTTCACCTCAGCAAAACGGACTTTGTCCTGTCAGCCGTTATACTGTAACGTTAGTCGTAGCGCACACTCAATTGCACGCGCAAATGCGGCGGCGCGCGCTGGATCGCCTCACTGTATATAAAGTGCAAAAGAAACAACGAGCATGCAACACTGTTGCGTTGTAAATAACACGAAATAAAAACAAAGCAGGTATGATTTTAATTCTATTCACCAGGAGCAGTTTCAATGTTTCATTAACAGTATTGTCTATTCACCAAGGTAACTGTCATGTCTATATTAACCCCTTAATGCCCCTATTTTTCTTTGTGTTATTTTTATATTTTTTAAATGAATGTAATGGCTCATACCAACGTTGTATTGACAAAATAAATAAACCAATTAATAAATCACAATTACAATTCCAAGGGAATAATCTGCAATTAAGATTTTTGTCATAATCATGCAGCCCTAAGGTGAAGAAACCTGTTAATTATTTATTCATTTGATTTTGCAAATGTTCATGTTTCAATAAAACTACTTGTGACATGTCATATTTGGCTTTGACTGAACATTTGCTCTCACTTTGCAGAAAAAATATCGGGATATATTTTGTATATTGAAATTCAGCCTAAATATATTGGGATACAGGGGCGTGGTAGTGGGGGGAAAAGTGGACCTGACTACTCAGGGCCCCGTCTAGGGAGAGGGCCCTTTGAAATCCCACCAATTTAAAAAAAAAATTTTTTTTAAACCTAATTAGAATTAATTGGGCCCTCCAATTGATGTCATTAATAATAATTTAAAAAAAAATATTGACCAAAATGAACTCCGTGCCAGACACTCTGGACCCCCTTCCAAATGGTTTAGTCCGCAACGCGTCGACCGCCCATAGACGCAGCGGGCGGCAAACAAGTAATAACGCAGTGAGTCTAGAGCCTGTAACGGGAGCCTGATCTGATCATGCTGTGCAAAAAGCCCAAATCGGGCTTTAAAAAAAAGAAAGAGAGGAAAGAAAAAGATGGGAGGCAGAATGCGGGGAAGCAGCTGATGACTGCTTTCTTCCCAAAAGGTGAACTGAGTTTGCTATATGCACCTAACGTTACATCCAATTAAAGTTAACGTAACTTAGTCAACTCCAGACAGCTGCTGCTAATGCAGGGTTCCAGACTGCGACCAAATTGGTCTCATATGCGACCATTTTTTTGAGGATTTGATTGTGCGAGTTAAAATTGTATGTGATGTGGTCGCGTCGCATATTGGACGCTCGCGCAAAAGAACACCGACCGTTGTATCAGCTGCTGCAGACTGCAGTCCGTATGTTCAAAACGAACGAGTAGGCTACATCATGAATCCATTTTCCAAACCGTGTTTTTGACTTATCCTGAATCATTACGCCTGTTATAAGTGTTTATATTCGGACTATTTTTTTTATCCCGGATTCCCGGGGTTGACTCGGATGCGAAATTGCCCAGTGACTGCGTGACTCGCCATAGACATTATGGAGAGAAGTAGCTCCGGCAACAGTGTTCTTCCGCAAGACACATAGACGTCACGTGCGCATTGCACACTGATGGTGGAACACGCCAATTACGAATTCATGAATAAAAATATAAAAATTAAAATGTCTCAGGAAACAAATTATTACAAAATGCAGGAGGTAAGGAGTGTGAGATTTCTGATTTTTGAACTAACTTATAAAATTTGATAACGAAAAATCTGTTTTAGCTTGTTGTAATACTCTAATCTTTTAAAATGTAATGTACATTTGAATGTTTAATGATTTTTAAAAGATAGAAATATGATGCTAATAGAAAAATGACAGACTGTTATGGGTAGTCGTGACTGAATGGTCATGAGCAGATGTAGCACTCAGGAGAAGTTAGATGAGTTTGCATAGATGGGATTTTATTTATCCATAATTAAGGCCAATGAAAAGCAAAAAAAAAATTAACAACAAAAAAAAATACTTTTGAATAAACAAAGTAAATTGACATGAGAGTCAAAATAAATACATTTAAAAAAAAAAAAAAAAAAAAAAAAAAAACTTTTACAACAGTTCACACATTGACCTTAACACAAGTCATTATATTAGAGCAAGGACAGACTTATGTCCTTTCACCCCACGCTCCCCTTACAGAATGAAAATACTAGCCTTTATAGACCTGAGTTCACCCATGGAATTGGAACATACCAACACATGATTATGATACAGGGGTGACTCAGATGACAACAGCATAAATGCTTAAAAACAGCATGAAATAGAACCTCTATAAAACTAGAAAATTACAGAATATTATTTCTACAGTTTCAGCTGACAATTGGCAAGCAAAAAGTCACATTAACAGCTACGAATTAATTAAACTCAAACTCCGGGTAATTTTTCTCTTGACCCGGAAGTCATAGCGTCATTTAAACCCCACAATAGCGGCACATTTTCCTTTACTCAAACAAACCAGAGACGCGAGTACAACAAAGATGGTATGTGAACACAATGTTTCTCTTAAACTAAATAAACAGATACCTATTGAAAACATGTATTGTGTGATTATTGTAACTGCATATAACTGTGATGTAGATGACATAATTTTCTTGAAAACAGCAAGGTATGTATTGATGGAAGTAGCTATAGCATTTAAATCACCGCAGTATTAGCTGTTAAAGATGTGCACACCAAAAGCTACGGGATATACGAGTTTTTGTTATGAAAGGCTAGATTAACCGCTAATTTATGACAGAATAAAGATTAACAAAAACTTTAACGTGCTAGACAAACATTTGGATCACATTTACACACAGTCTTTGTGTACAAGGATAGGCAGCGTATCGCTGCCGTGACGATAGCTATGCGCCCCGTCACACAGACACAGAAGATTATGATTCAAATGTAAATAGATAGATTGAATGTAATTCAAATGTAAAATTCTTAAAATTACAGATTAAAATTACTGTCCAAAATCCATGAAAATCCTGAAATTTGGCAATGATAATTAATATATTACAGGTATTTATGGTAAGCCTTTGCTGGCTTTGGTCCATTAAAACCACTATTCATCGGCATGTATTGATTAATCCCATGGCATGTAGCAAAAAAAATAAAAAAATAACCGCGACGAAATCAAATGCTGATGCGACCAACTGAGAAAGTTGGTAGCATCAGTTTAACCTGGTTTCTGAGGGTAGGGGAGAGCGGGGCAATGTGAGACATCGGGTAATGTGAGACACCCCCTGTATCTAGTCAACCAAACACATTTGTGGTTGTGTGACCATTATGTTTTTAAGCCCATTCCATTTCCCCTTGGCCATAAAGGAGAGGAGCTCATGGTGCTGTTATAAACATGTTTTTTTCACAAAAATATGTTTTTTGCATGTAAAAGTAAATTTTCTTGCTGTCAACTTAATCAACTGTTGTGGTAAAGCAAATTGATTCAGGTAGAAAAATGTATATCATACATGTTGATGAACTATTAAAATATGAATCCATGTGATGATGATAGCTGAAGAGTATCCTGAATTACTAAGAGAGATCGTTTTTTGCTAAAATGTGGCAGTGGGGTAAAGTGAGACAAATACTATGGGGTAAAGTGAGACATGAGGCACAAGTTAAGTTTAGTCTTAAAATATTTTAATGTAATATTACATTACATATGTTTTATTTTTTAATGTCATTGACATTGTAGAAAAGCCATCATGCCAAGATAATACACCAGGAAGACAACCTGGGGCAAAACACCCCTTGAGGAGATGGAGAGTGCAGCCGCTGAGGTCAAGGAAGGAAATATGTCTATAAGAGCAGCTGCAAGGGACAGAATTATTGACAAGCCTGACAAGATATTGAGAAGAGGAGGTCTGTTTTAAAAATGTGGAGTATTGAAGCCAAAATCTTTCAAACGCTGAGCAGCTGTAGCAGACACAGATGAACGGCTAGTGCGGACATTGGATGTGCTGTGGCAACTTGCATGAACCTGTGGAGAGGCGGCTCAGACGAAAGAACCAATCAGGCTGCTTCGTGCCTTGGCATATCAGAGCCATCCAAAATGGGTGTGGCCTAAGCCTTTTTATTGGCCAGTTCAGCCAAAGGTAGTCAGGTTAAGTCGACTGAAGCGATCCCCTGATCAAAGCCACATACATTTTGAATGTGGAGGGGGTACGACCCACGTCCATACTCCTTGTAAGAAGGCGAGTATACTCGATACTTCGCACAAATAGGGGTCCAGGCTCCGTGCAGCGCACCAGCCAGAAATTACCACCCATTTCTGAGCGTAGAGGCATCTAGTTGACAGCGCTCTTGCCTCATGGGGATGGCAAATTAATCGGTTTGCCTGCATGAGGAGGTTTCTCCTCAGCACCACCGCAGCTGTACCAGCATGGAGAACCATAACTGGGTCTTCTAGAGAGGGGTTATTAGTAGCACTACACACTTGCTCTCCCTGATCCATTCGATGACCTGTGGTAACATCGTGACTGGAAGGAATGCATTCAGCGGACGGCTCGGCCAATCATGGGCAAGCACACCCCTGCTCTTCTGAGGCGAAGAGGTCTACCTCTTCCTCGCCGAAGATGCTCTATATTAGCTGAACCGTCTGTTGGGTGAAGAGACCATTCTCCTGGGGGAACATTGTCTCTAGATAACATATCTGCACCCTGGTTCAGGATGTATGGCACATGCTCCGCCCTTAGGGAGCACAGGTTGTGCTGAGCCCATAAAATTCGTTTTTTGGCCATGACGTGCAGGTTGCTTGACCTGAGAATGCCCTGGTGATTTATATAGGACACCACTGCCATGCTGTCTGTCCGGACCAGGACATGGTGGCCTTTCAAGTCCGAGAGAAAGGCTTTCAGCGATAGAGCGACTGATCTCATCTCTAGACAGTTTATATGTAGCCGTTTCTCCAGGCTTTACTATGAGACGAGCCTGCCCTCGTAAAGGGCCCTCCAACCTAGGCTGGATGTATTTGTCAAGATCACTTTTCTCCTTTTAAACACACCCATACTCACTCCTGACTGATACCAGTCGTCCGCTTTCCAGGGAGCTAGGGCTCTGATAAAAAGTAAGTGGATCAGTTTACCCCCAGCTGGTTCACTTTACCCCCTTGATTTCTCTGGTCTGTCTCAGTTTACCCCTGGGCTGGGGTAAAGTGAGACACAAGACCACTTTTTTAAAAACAATCATATTTTCACTGCCCTTCGTCCTGAATACATTCAGATAATTTCCATTGGTAGAAAACATCCTGAATTAATGGGAAATGTATAAATCTTACTAATATATCATTTTAGCTCACTTAGAGGAGAGCAAATGTAAAAAATGTCTCACTTTACCCCACTCTCCCCTACAGTTGTCTCTCGTGTTCTTGTGTTCTCCTACTTAAAAATAAATGTTTTTCATTTAAAACTTGCATCAGTATCATGGATCAAAATGTTAGTACACAAAACCGATGTAGCCTAATATGTAGGCCTATAATAATAATAATAATAATATAATAATGTAGCCTATAAGGTTTAAAGGTATTTGAGCACAAGTAGGCCAAATGCATCAATTCAGGTGGTGAATGAAAGAACCAGTCATTACTATAATCTGATTTTATTATTTAAACACTGTTTATATTTGTTTATATTCAAATAATTAAAAAAATACATTTCATTCAAAATTGAATTTTCACTTTGCTAACCCGCATCGTACAATGCCATGTGTAGGGGGCCCATTGACATTGAGAGTGTACAGGGCCCAGAATTTGGTGCTACGCCCCTGTTGGGATATGACTATTGGTCCATATCACCCAGCCCTAGTTGAGATGAAAACTCTTGTTCGTTACATTTTACTTCATGAACCACATGTGTTGTATTCATTGTTGCAAAACTTGTTCTGTAGTTCGTTGTTATCGTGATCAAAACCATTGATCTGAAGCTCAATGCTGATGCTGTCATGTAAATAGTTTTCTTATCAGCAATAAATATAACAATTTCTGATCAACCCATATCAATTGCATGCTTAAAATAACATACCGGTTAAAGCCCCGCCCATTTCAAGACTATCCGACCCACTTCCGGGTTTAGGCCCCGCCCAGTCCGAGTACAGATACAGATAATTCATATGGTTATACAGATACAGATACAGATAATGCTGTACTCGCTCATCCCTAGTATCTATACAGTCAGTCTGGGAAATCCCTGACTGTTATGGATAACCCAGAAGAGGAGGATCGGCTGGTGGAGCAGATGACTGATGAGGTGGTGCAGGACGAAGGCCTTGTTGAGGAGGAACCTGAGGACCTCACAGTGCCAGTCCTCTATGACCCCATTGAGCCTGTCCCAGTCCACGGCAGCAGCCCCCAGGCCTTCAACCCCTGTCCCTCTGCACCAGGACCATCCTCACTACATCCACCCACAGGACTGCAGCACCCTGCCCACCCTCCTCTGCAGTCTCCTCCTCTGCGCCCTGCCCAGCCTCCTCTGCAGTCTCCTCCTCTGCGGCTCCTGTAAGTAAGCTTCTCATTACTAGTTTCTATTTGCTTTTGCACTCTGACATTTAACATGCTGTGTATTGTTATTGTAATAACCTGCAGGCTCCTGTTCTTGGACCCGATGGCGTTGCAGGCTGGGATAAGGTGCAGGATCTGGCTGAGTACCTGGTGTCCCTCCGTCAGGCACTCTACCTGGACGAGCAGCAGGTCACAGAGGTCATCCGTCTGTGGACTGCTCTTCCTGATGGGGACAAGAGGAAGATCCACTATCAGCCCAGACACCAGCCCAAACTGACCCACGGACGCTTCAAGGCTCCGAAAAACACAGGAGTGACACCGGGTGTGGACAGTGTGAAGAGGTGCCTGATTGGTCATCCTGGGGGGCCGGCTCAGTGGCCCAGCACCAGTCGCTTAGTTGAGGCCATGTGCATCAAACTGTGTGCACTGCACAAGTCCCCAACTAAGAAGGATGGAGTCCGTCTTCCTCGTTGGACTAAGGTGCTCGCGGATTACCACCACATCCGAGACCTGGTGCTGAACTGCCAAACTCTGATGGAGGCCACGTCACTTCAGCTGTTTATGCTGAATCAGAGGACTCTCACTCAGTGGTAAGCATGGTTTTACATTGACATTTGAAAGAAAGGGATAGCAGTCATTTATTATGAATACATTTTTGATTGCCGGTTTAATCGAAGGGAGAACGAAGTGACTCGAAGTGACTGTCCTTACCCAGGGCCTTGCTGCAGAAGACCGCATAGCTGTGGCCAGCTCACAGCTGCCTGCTCTGCGGGAAAAGCTGGATGAGGCTCCCTCCACATCAGGGGCCCGGAACGAGTTTGTCCTTCCTCCTAACAGAGCGGGACAGGCTCCTAAGCTACGGCCGGGCAGACGACCTGCCAGTGCTACAATTGTGCGGCCAATTATCCCAGCAGCTTCTACTCCTCCCCCAGTTCCTGTGCCAATTCCCCAGTTCATTTTATTGAACATTGCGCCCACGCTGCTGGCAGCTGGTGCAGGTGGCGCTTCAGCTGCTCCTCTCCTTGCGTCAAGACTTGCGAGAGGCTCCTGCTCCCACTGCCCCGGTGCCTGTATCCCGCTTCACGCAGAGGAACAGACGACGCAGGGCAGAAGAGGAGGCCAGTGGAGCCCACAAAAGGAAATATGTCCGTGAAGTGTCATTTAACAAATGCTCAAAGTGTGGGATGCCCAAAACCAAGGAGTTCGGCCACAGCCGCTTCGGCAGTGCCACGTTTTGCCCCAGTGTCTCTGGTGACAAATCTTTAGAGGAGTGGCTGGTAGAACAGCGCCAGCAGAAAAAACCTGGACAGCCACCTCCATAATAAAAATCTTCCAACACAGAAAAAAGATTTTTTGTAAATACCTGTAAATAAATATCTATGTGTAAATACAGTTATGTTCTTTTTTTATCTCAATCTTTCTGTAATGTCTTGTTTGTTTTATTTATAATACAGAATGTTCTATTCTATTTCTACATTGTTAGTTGTTTGTTGTTCATTAATGGCTTGTAGTTTTAGTAAATAAATACTGTTCACACTCTTATTCATTGTGCTGTTTTTAATTGTCCTCGAATTTGCAAACTGTACTAGGGCCCACCCACTCTTTCATAGAGTATACATTGTACAAACCCAATTCCATAAAAGTTGGGACACTGTACAAATTGTGAAAAAAAACAGAATGCAATGATGTGGAAGTTTCAAATTTCAATATTATATTTAGTATACAACATAGATGACATATCAAATGTTGAAAGTGAGACATTTTGAATTGCCATGTCAAATATTGGCTCCTTTTGGATTTCATGAGAGCTACAAATTCCAAAAAAGTTGGGACAGGTAGCAATAAGAGGCCAGAAAAGTTAAATGTACATATAAGGAACAGCTGGAGGACCAATTTGCAACTTATTAGGTCAATTGGCAACATGATTGGGTATAAAAAGAGCCTCTCAGAGTGGCAGTGTCTCTCAGAAGTCAAGATGGGCAGAGGATCACCAATTCCCCCAATGATGAGGCAAAAAATAGTGGAGCAATATCAGAAAGGAGTTTCTCAGAGAAAAATTGCAAAGAGTTTGAAGTTATCATCATCAACAGTGCATAATATCATCCAAAGATTCAGAGAATTTGGAACAATCTCTGCGCGTAAGGGTCAAGGCCGGAAAACCATACTGAATGCCTGTGATCTTCGGGCCCTTAGACGGCACTGCATCACACACAGGAATGCTACTGTAATGGAAATCACAACATGGGCTCAAGAATACTTCCAGAAAACATTGTCAGTGAACACAATCCACCGTGCCATTCACCGTTGCCGGCTAAAACTCTATAGGTCAAAAAAGAAGCCATATCTAAACGGGAACCAGAAGCGCAGGCATTTTCTCTGGGCCAAGGCTCATTTAAAGTGGACTCTAGCAAAGTGGAAAACTGATCTGTGGTCAGACGAATCAAAATTTGAAGTTCTTTTTGGAAAACTGGGACGCCATGTCATCCGGACTAAAGAGGACAAGGACAACCCAAGTTGTTATCAGCGCTCAGTTCAGAAGCCTGCATCTCTGATGGTATGGGGTTGCATGAGTGCGTGTGGCATGGGCAGCGCACACATCTGGAAAGGCACCATCAATGCTGAAAGGTATATCCAAGTTCTAGAACAACATATGCTCCCATCCAGACATCGTCTCTTTCAGGGAAGACCTTGTATTTTCCAACAAGACAATGCCAAACCACATACTGCATCAATTACAACATCATGGCTGCGTAGAAGAAGGATCCGGGTACTGAAATGGCCAGCCTGCAGTCCAGATCTTTCATCCATAGAAAACATTTGGCGCATCATAAAGAGGAAGATGCAACAAAGAAGACCTAAGACAGTTGAGCAGCTAGAAGCCTTTATTAGACAAGAATGGGACAACATTCCTATTCCTAAACTTGAGCAACTTGTCTCCTCAGTCCCCAGACGTTTGCAGACTGTTATTAAAAGAAGAGGGGATGCCACACAGTGGTAAAAATGGCCTTGTCCCAACTTTTTTGAGATGTGTTGATGCCATGAAATTTAAAATCAACTTATTTTTCCCTTAAAATTATGCATTTTCTCAGTTTAAACATTTGATATGTCATCTATGTTGTATTCTAAATATAATATTGAAATTTGAAACTTCCACATCATAGCATTCTGTTTTTATTCACAACTTGTACAGTGTCCCAACTTATATGGAATTGGGTTTGTATATAACACATATATTTGTGTGTATGTCTATATATGTATGTGTGTGTGTGTGTGTGTGTACTTATTTCAATATTTGTGTGTATTCATTTTAATAAAAAAAATACATTGCGATATTTGTGTGTATAAAACATTCGACATTTAAAACATATATTTGAGAATTATATATATGTTTCATTTATATGAAACATTTAAAACATTTTATTTAGGACACAAGTGTCCTAAAATAATATTTGAAAAAACATTTGTGTTAGTTTTATTAAACCATAAACATGTAATATGCTTTTTTTTTTTTTTAAATAATAATAATAATATACACTATTAATATCAATCAATATAATGATATGTCACATAGATAACCAAATGATGGCGCATGCGCAGTTGATCACACACTAGTTGCGCAAAACACGGGTTCGAGCCCAGCCTGCGGAGGGTGACTTGTTTCACATGTAACTAAAACTCTTCAATAACGTACAGGAATATAGCCCGAATATTGTTGCAAGGCAAATTTGTGCGTTTTTTCGCGTTTTCTGCGTCCTTTTCGCTTGCGTGCTGGGCGCAAAGATTGGACCCCATCTTAGAGAGTAAGTGTGTTTCAAAAAATTAGTCAAAGAGAGTGTAAAAGTCTGTGTTTTAAAAAAATGAATCAAAGAGAGTTAAGGCCCGTACACACCGGGACGAATATCAGCACGCGTTATTCGTCAGCGTTTTTCAACGCGTTTGAACGCCCAAGCGTTTTTCGCTGACGATGAGCCGAGTGAACATGCAAATTCATTCCCTGACATTAGATGGCCCTTAATGTAAAACAGAAATAATAATAGAATACTATACTAGGGTGATCATATTCATGTCTCAATGTTTTATTATGACAGATAGAAAAAAAACGAATGAAATAATGATAGAAATAATGTCTTCTGTATTAGAAAAATAAATATATAAATAATAAATAACTAAAAGAAATGCCTCCAAATGTAACAAAAAATAGCTCTCACAAAATTACAAAAACGAACTAACAAAATCTATTTATATCTTTAGTTTTCATTCTCTTTATCTTGTTTTTCTTCCTCGTCCACCTTGTTTGCCCATATTTTGCTGTAGAACTGATCTTTCCCAGCAGTTTTTGTTTGAAAACCAGGACATTTTCATCACTTAAAAACAGTCAGGACAGGACGTGGAAACAGGACATGTGTAACGCAAAGTTGAGATGTTGCCCAGAGATAAAAACATAGCAGATGTCGGATGAACAGATGCACGAGAGACGAGAGTTGTCGTATTTCCCCGCGTTTAATAAAACCACTCAAACACTCGTCCTCCTCGTATGGGGATCGAGCGAGAAAAAAACCCCAAAAACAAACATTTGGTCACAATAGAAAATAAAATAAAAGAAAGAATACAAAGAGTCGGCAGAGCGGTTCTCCTCTCCTCACTTGTCAAAATCTAACTGACACTACGCACAAGCGCAGTTCTCATCTCAACTCAGATTTCTATAAAGCACAAAGTGACCGTTTTACACATGTCCCGGGAAAACAGGACTGTTGGTCACCCTATACTATACTATTATTACAGAAATACTAATATAAATATTATCTTATAGCTCTTTATGCTCCGAGACCAGCAGCTCAACATTCATCTTGCCCATAGGTATCTTGTCTCTTCTTCGCCGTATGTGTCCTCGGCAAGACCGTTTTGTGTTTGAGCGCCCTCAAGTTGTGTTTTACTGTAACTTCAGAAGTACCAGACACGTGAGCAAACCCGCCAATCTCGTTGGTCGGATAGGTTTTGACGCAGCGCGTCAAACCAAAAAAACGAACCCGAGGCGTTTTTTTAAAAATGACGCTTTTACGCGTGGCGTTTTTCGCGTCAGTCTGAACACTCACATTGGCGCCCATTGTTTAGTCACGAGGCGTTAAACGTCGACGAATAATGCGCGCGAAATTCGTCCCGGTGTGAACAGGCCTTTAGTGTGTTTTAAAAAATGAGTCAAAGAGAGTGTAAAAGTCTGTGTTTCAAAAATTTAGTCAAAGAGCTAGTGTGTTTTAAAAATGATTCAAAGAAAGTAAGTGTGTTTTAAAAAATGAGTCAAAGAGAGTAAGTGTGTTTTAAAAATGATTCAAAGAAAGTAAGTGTGTTTTTAAAAATGAGTCAAATAGAGTGTAAAAGTCTGTGTTTTTTAAAAATTAGTCAAAGAGAGTAAGTGTGTTTTAAAAAATGAGTCAAAGAGAGTGTAAAAGTCTGTGTTTTTTAAAAAATGAGTCAAAGAGAGTAAGTGTGTTTAAAAAAATGAGTCAAAAGAGAGTTTTAAAATGAGTCAAAGAGAGTAAGTGTGTTTTAAAAAAAGAGTCAAATAGAGTGTAAAAGTCTGTGTTTTAAAAATGAGTCAAAGAGAGTAAGTGTGTTTTAAAAAATGAGTCAAAGAGAGTGTAAAAGTCAGTGTTTTTAAAAAAATTAGTCAAAGAGAGTAAGTGTGTTTTAAGAAATGAGTCAAAGAGAGTAAGTGTGTTTTAAAAATGAGTCAAAGAGAGTGTAAAAGTCTGTGTTTTTTAAAAATTAGTCAAAGAGAGTAAGTGTGT